TGTTTTCGTTCCAGCATGTGGAAGGGCCTGAATGTTAACTGCACAGACAGCTCAGGATACACACCTTTACATCATGCTGCACTCAACGGACACAGGTATGAGGAGTTTTCACATATTTGTGGAGTAATATTTATTAATTTGTTAATCACAAATCCAAATGCTCTCCAATACAGCACAAACAAATTTAAAGAGGTCTGCTTTGCTTGTATTCATATATGTATGTGCAGGTAATGTGTGTGTGTGTGTACACGCTGGGTTTCATTTTTAATTCTGATTCACTTATGCATAAATTATGCATAGAAATGATAAAAAAAGATATGTAAATCACTAATAAGAAGTTCTTAGAATGATGTACTTTGTTTGACTAACAGTCCAAAACCCCATAATATTTAATTTAAATTAATGTAAAAAGGAGACACAAGCGTAATATTGGTTTTTTGTTAATTTTCTCTGAATGTAATAATTATTTCAGTATTAATATGTATGCAGGGCTGAAATACTGAAAATAAATTGTGTAATCAGGGGAAAAGTGAAAAAAGCTTGCTTCCTCCTTTATGTCTCTCAGGTCCTGTATTACTGTGCTTAATGGCCTATGCAAATGTTGTCACTATATTTTCTGTGTGACTCTGTGTTAAGTACTACATTTGGGATGTGTTTTTTTTTTTTTGGGATGACAACACCATCATCATTAAATATGCTGATGACACCACCATTCTGGGCCTCATCAAGGGGGGAGACGAGTCCGGTTACAGAAGCTTGGTGAACAACATTCTTGTTTGTGGAGAGGAGAAATAATAGTAGACTTCAGGAAGAACCCCTCCGCTCTGCTGCCTCTGACCATCAAAGGGACTGAGGTGGAGAGGGCTGACAGCCACAAGTTTCTGGCCCTGCAGGTGACATCTGACCTGAACTGGTCACTGAACACAGCTGCCACAGTGATGAAAGCCCAGCAGAAGCTATACTTCATCATGTGGCTCAGAAAAGCTGGGTTGAACCGTTGTCCTCTCACCCAGGCTTATAGAGGACTGGTAGAGAGCATCCTCACCACTGGCATCACAGTCTGGTATGGTAACATCACACAGGCAGAGAGGAAGGCTCTTCCAAGGGTCTTAAAGACTACAGAGAGGGTCATTGGGACTGAACTGACTGCTATGGACACACTATACACACAGTGCTGTTGTAAAAGGGCAGAGAACATACTCAGAGATCCACGCCACCCAGCTCACACTCTGTTCAGACACAAAAACTGCACCTAGAGCCTCAGGCACAGCAGGGTGGACAGTATCATCACACACAGAACAAGACTTTATAACAGCTTTTTCCCTGCTGCAGTAAGACTGATGGCAGATATAAAAATGTGAGAATATATGTGCAATAACCCCTTACTCGACATGTGCAATGATAATACAGAGATGTCCCACAAGGTATTTTTGTAAGAGCATCTCATTAGCTGTTCTCTTGTGGGACCTGAATAATAGCAGGACATTCTCTGCCAAGCAATGGAAACAGGCCTGAATATAAACTGTGTTTTAGTATGTTATAACCCCTCACTACCTCACCAAGCGTAATGACATATCCAACTCCACCATGTGAATTACTAAGTGCGATGTTTGAAGTTCACTGGGGAAAATACTATTACCCTATTTTTGTGTATTGCCACTTTAATGCTTTGTTGCTTTTATGTAACTTTTTTATTTTAAGACCTAAGTGTTCTTTTTGGCTTTTGACTCCTTACCTGACTCCAAAGGAGAGCTGCACAAGAATTTCTAGATGCCTAGACTGTCTGTTTATGCATAAATGGCAAATAAAAATCTTGACTTGACTTGAATCGACTGTATTCGCCTCAACCGTTTGTGGCCCGTTTCTTTTTTGTGCTGCTGACCAGACTGTTGTAGGTAGTATTGGTGTTCTATTTGTATTAGTACTTTTACTTTAAGCAGAGGATGTGAGTATTTCTTGCACTGCTGGTAATGGAGTATTTTTACATTGTTGCATTCATGTTGTAGTTGCATTAGTACTTTTACTTCAGTAACATTTTGAATGCAGGACTTTTAACTTCTAACAGAGTATTTTTCCGCTGTGGTATTACTTCTCACACTTAAGTAAAGGATCTGAGTACTTCCTGTATGACCACAGTGAACTTCCTCCTTCTCCTCTTTATCTTCACATTCAAACCAAACAGGAAGTGTAATTTGTTGTTTTTAAAGGCAGCACTTTATAGTTCTTCCCACATTTGCTGGGTGAATACCTGCATCCTCTGTCTCTGTCTGGTTGAAATGTCAGATCAAAAATTATGGGATGGAAACCACAAGGACCACACACACACACACACACACACACACACAGGGGAATGGAAGGATTTTATGTGATAGCGTTCACTCTCCCCTCAGGGATTACGGGTAATAGGATACACCTCAGTCCCCCACCTCAATCCCCCTCTTCCCTTTGACCCCCGACCCCCATTGTTGCTGCACTGATGTTTCATTTCGTGTGTGTTTGTGTGTGTTCCCTGCAGACCGACCATTTAGCCTCGACGTTTCTCTTTCATCTCACAATCAAGGTGGAGAAAACTCACAAGTGCCTCTATCGTGTGTTGCTAAAAGCCTGCAGAGAGAGAGAGAGAGAGTGTGTGTGTGTGTGTGTGTGTATGAGGCTCAATAACAGGAAGACAGAAGAACTGAAACACAATTGACCACAGAGACACACACAACAAATGAAAGACAACAAAGAACAGGGAAGGTATTGTTCACTGGCTGCAGAAACACACCTGAAAACACACACATTGTAGCACACACAGTGCAACACACTTATTTATTTTCTTTTTACTTCATTTCAGGGACAGTGAGCATTAATCATTTTCAACCTTTGTCCCTCAGCTAGATACACAATATACACAACAGGAGTGAAGTGGAGACGTATTCAGAGCATAGACTCCACAATAATGTGGTAGAATATGGACACATCGGGTCACACAGACAACCTTGCTAATGCCGACAGAGCAGTCCTTTTAAGGTTAGGGTCGCTGACATGCAAACAGGTTAAGTGGGGGGGTCATTGATTACATGGTAGTAACATGTAGGTTTGCACACACAGTGTAGCCCACACGCAGAGGTGTTTCCATCTGACTTTGCCTCTCCGAGTGCTTCGCTGTCTGTCATCTTGAAATGCAGCTCTTAGACTGGCTGCTACAAAGCCCCAGTGTGTGTCTGTGTGTGTGTGTGTGTGTGTGTGTGTGCGCGAGGCTTCCTTTAATCTCCCCCTCCCATCACCCTGCACTTCTCTCTCTCTCTTTGTGTCTCTGTTCAGTCATTTTGTTGTTGAATTCACCACAGGAAGCTTGAAGGGGTTCGTGTTCAGGTTTCTTGTGGTTTGCCATACCTACAGGAAAACAAACTGTCGCTGCATCGAGCAGACACGCTGCCATTTCTTTATTGATTGTGTATGATGTGCTCAAAGCCACTGGTTTGTTCATTGATGACTCCAGTAGAGTTCTATTCAGACAATCTCGATCTCAGCAACAGAAAAGCAGTGTTATGTTGACCCATTCATGTCCTAAGTGTTCTGTCCGCAAAATGCAACCTCTTACCTGTACCATGTTGTCTTTGTAATGAAGCGACTTCCCGCGGGATTGTGGGAGATTGGACAGCCAACCAAAACTTTCTGACCTGCCAGAAATCCATCAAACATCCCAAAGCCAGGTCTTTGGTCGGTCAGGTGATGTGCCGGGATGTCAAACCACAGCTGAGCTCGCCAAAATTCAATTCTAAAATGACCTGGAATGATGGATTCTAGGCTAAAATCAGGCTTAGCCATGCAGTGTTGGCTGAGCAGTAACAGCTCGGACATAAGCAAACTGGACAGTTACCGTGGTTACAGCTGTCTCCATCTCTGCTGTATACAGTTACTATGGTTACAGCTGTCTTCATCTTTGTTGTGATGATTTTTTTAAAATGAATTTCCAGTTTCAAACTTGCCATCATTTTGTCCTTTTTTCATGTGAAACTGGGGACTTGCCCTGAACAAATACTTTTGGTGGGAAAAATTCAGAACACTTTTGAGTTTTGTTTGTGATGTGCAGCTTTCTACAGAGAGGGATCACGTTGCTGCAGTCACGATGATATTATTAATAGAGGTGGAGTGATGGAGATGGGAGTGGTGCTTTGGGACTAAACACTGATGTGGTGAGCAGATTCTTTATGCAGGAGATCAGAACAGATGCTGAGGGATACCTGTGCAGCTCAGACTGGCTGCTGATTGGCTGAGGGCTGACCTGACCCTGAAGTGAGTGACATGGGACACAGTGGAGCGTGACCGAGCTGCTGACAGGATCTTTATCAGGTTCAGGCTGAGGTTTGTGTGATTGCAGGTTAAATATGTAGCAAGTGAACATCAGCGGGTTACGTGTCGGCCGTGATCGCTGACTGACAAAAACATGAAGTGACTGGCAGCTCAGATCAGGCGTGTTTACTGGGAAAATAGTCTGCTGATTCCTCTGAATCGGACTGAACACATCCACACTGACAGAAACCCGACATGGGTGTGTTGATCACAGTTGATAGGTGAAGTTCATCAGGGTGAAAGTGGAGGCTGACATTTTACCCCTGGGACGCAATAACTCTGTCTTCACACAGTGTTTGAAAGCTATAATTCTTCAAACTCTGCAGCAAACTCATTTTAGTGCCATCAGCAGCAGATTTGAGCTGCTTCAGACTCGTGGCCTCAAAGTGTTTTCATCAAAAAATGGTTCAACTACAGGCCCGTTTTTTTTTCAATGGTGTGAACATTGAAGAACATTGAAAACATTAATGTGAACATACAACTGAGTCTGCAGCTCAGGATTCTTTACAAACGTGGTCAAAAGTCCATCACAGTGTCGTGTTAGTTCAGCAGTAATGGAGGCCTGGGCATTGTGTTTACTGGTTGTATCCCAGAACAACCAGCAGTTAAGTCTTCTGTGAAAATCCTGAACTTGCGTTTGTGTCTTTGTGGCTGTGTGCCAGATCCGATGCATGGTCCACGGCATCTCGAGGTCGACGACATTCAGTCAAAACAAGTGACGGTACAATGGGAACCATTTGGATACAACGTGACCCGCTGCCACAGCTACAACTTGACTGTGCAGTACCACTACAGGCTTATGGGGAGCCTTGGCAGGTAAACACAGGTGTAGGTGGAGAGAGGGAGGCTCTGCAGGTAAACACAGGGACAGACTGACAGGTAATCCCTTCCTCCTGTTTCCTGCAGGGAGTCGGTAAAGGAGGAGGTGCGGGAGGAGGTGGTATACGACACTCTGAGTGCCATGCCACGGCACACCGTACGGAACCTTCTACCGTTCACCAACGTCAGTCTCAGACTGGTCCTTACCAACCCCGAGGGACGCAAGGAGAGCAAGGAACTGCTGCTGCTGACTGACGAGGACGGTGAGACTTGATTGTGTCTCTTGTGAAGTGGACTTCATTTATTTATTTTATTTAACCTGGAAGATATTGCACCGTTGAGACAGAGGGATTTTTTCATAAGGGGGTCCTGGTCTTGAGGTTCTGTTGTTGAAAACATGTTTTAATATTCTGGTCTCAGTTCCTGGAGTGGTTCCGGTGGAGTCGATTCTTGGCAGTAGCTATGAGCAGCAGATCAGTCTGAGCTGGAGAGAGCCTCTGCAGACCTACGGCCTCATCCGACAGTATGAGGTAAACCCTGAGGCCGCAGTGAGTTTCTTAGACCAGTTCATGTAAAACCAGGCTGATATTAGTGTCCTCCTCCTCCACAGATCTCATACAAAGCCCTGAGCTCCTTTGACACAGAGTTCGACCTGTCTAATCATAGCGGCAAGGTGTTCAAATTGGCCAATGAGACCAGCCATGTGTTCATGGGCCTCTGCCCAGGTTCCACCTACTCCTTCTCAATAAAAGCCTCTACCATTAAAGGCTTTGGACCGGCGGTCATCACGCAGTTCACCACCAAGATCTCAGGTAGGAATCCTTCAAAATAAGAGCCTGAAAAGTCATGTTTAACACAATAAAACACAGATATTCACCAACTAACCCAACACCAGAGAGGCCTACCAGGCTCAGAGGGCTGTTGGCTAAGGGGCCCCTAAGCAACACTCAGCCTCTGTTTTAAGTGTTTATATCATAACTTATCAGACAGTTTAAACTAAAGTCTGTGATTCTGGCGACATGATATTTATATTTACACCTCAACAAATGCACATCTCCCTTCAGATAGCGTTGTATAACTGTTGTATATAATTATTTCCAGTGAATGAACTTTTGTCTTTAATAATTTAAACATGTTCATGCACATCAGAAACAAGCAGAGGCTTCTACAGGTAAAAGATAAGCCCTTTGACCACCTCTGTCACCCTGTGCAGCCCCTCTGATGCCAGCTTACGATCAGGAGTCTCCTCTGAACCAGACCGACTCCACTGTCACCATTCTGCTGAAACCAGCTCAGAGCCGAGGGGCTCCAGTCAGGTAACGACTCTCTCTCTCTCTCTCGCAGCTGTTGAAATATTCAGCAGCATCAATCTTGTGCCTGATAAAGTTTTCATGAGTGAAACGTTAAAGATTAAAGCGGGACATGAAGCATTTTGAAGAAGCAGCTGGAGCCGTCACATCACGCTCACTCACCATTTTATGTTTTTATTTGTTTTCTCAACAGGCTTTTTGTAATAAAACACAAAATTAGGTGTAACATTTAAATGCAGGCGACCGCTGCTACACACTCGGGTTGTCGGGGGCCCACAGGGAGGCGGTATCTGTAGTAACAGTCATCATATCAACAGCTGTCTGCTTAGCCATCGGGCGGTAATGAGGGATTTGGTTAATTAACAATCAGCGGGTGGGGCTAATCAGAGCCTGCTGCTAACACTGAGGATTAACAGGGGATTAAAGCTAATGTGTCAATCACACTCTTT